TTATAATAACATAAAAATTAATGATTATAAAGAGAAAAAAAATTTTAATCTAGGAGCCACCATCAGATCAAGCCATGATGAAGAAATGTTGGGAAAGAATTTGATCCTGCACTTTGACAGTAAGTTGGTAAAAGAAATAGAGGAAAAGTTAAAAATTACAGTTAAAAAGGAAAGAGTTGGGATATCAGTCCTGAATTTAATACAAAAGATGTTTGTCTACTTGGAATCATAGCTGTAGAGAGCAATAAAGGAAAAGATCGCGCTATTGTTATTCAAAACATTTTAAAACATTTTGAAATAGCTGATAATATAATTGGAGTCTGTACTGATACTACATCAAGTAATACAGGTAGACTAAAAGAAGCAATAATAATTATTAGTAGAATTCTTAACAAGTGTTTGTTTTGGTTTATGTGTCGTCACCACATATATGGACTCCATATAACTCATGCAGTACAGGCACAAAAGTTAAATCTAAGGGTCAAAGCAAGTCTATGTACTTAGCTTTACAAAGACACTGGGAAATTTCTCATGAATCTGTAAATTCAAGAACTCCAGAACTGAAAAAATTTGACTGGAACAAGCTGGAAATAAATAGCAGGTTTTACATCTTGGTGCTAGCAGCTAAAGATTATGCGAAGTATTTGTTGCAGAATAAAATTTTTTAAAGAAATAACTATAATCACCTTGTAAAATATTTGGCTTTTTATCTTGGCATCGAATCTGATAAGCTTAATGAATTTAAAATTCTTCAACCTGGAGCTTGTCATGAAGCGGTATCTTTCTCCAGCAGTAGTTGTTTTATCACTAGTTGACTCTCACTTGGAAATGTTTGTCAAGTAAGAGATTTTGAAGTCATTAATTTCCTTTCCATTTCCAGAGCTAGAAAAAATAAATATGGAAAAACCTAATCCTGTTTTAATCTTAGCAAACAGTAAGCTTTTAAATCTTGTTACAGCTTATAGCTGGCTTATATTTATATGCCTAGGAATTGTAAATCAAGTCAAAGATTCAGTTCATTTTCATTCCAACTTCTCGAAAACTGAATCATATAGTGTTTTTGAAAGTTTTGTCAAAGGGCTTAGTGTAGCTAACGACTGTGCTAAAAGAAATATCGGATTAATAAATGATTTTTTTAAATATTCTCAAAAAGAAGAACTGCGTCAAAATATACTATTGATAACGAGAGAGGAGAGAAAAAAAGTAACAAAGAAAGTAGCTCAAAACGAACTTATGAAAATTTAAAGCTTTCTATATGATAATATATAATGAGATATAATTGTGAATAAAAAAATTATACTGTCAGTTAATGATAATAATGAGATATATTTATGAATAAAAGAATTATACTGTCAGTTATTTAATTTTGATCTTTTCTAGCTAAAAAAAGAAGATTTAGGAATTTTACAGTATGCACTTGATCTAAGTGCAGTTTTTTACTATGTATTTATCTTCTACCTTTATATAGACAATGAATTTTGGGTGCACAAATAAAGTTTAGAAAAAAAAGGTTTTTCTATATATTTTTGGGACACCCTAATATACATATATCATATATATATATATATATATATATATATATATATATATATATATATATATATATATATATATATATATATATATATATATATATATATATATATATATATATATATATATATATATACATATATATATATATATATATATTTAATGCGGTAGTGGTGTAGTGGTAGAGCGCTCGCTTCATAAACGAGTGGTTCCGAGTTCGATCCCCACCACGTCCCTGGTAGTACCGCGCTCAACTCGTTTCTCCGCGCAGCGGTCTTGTTCGTCAAAGTTCGTGTTTCGGAGTTATAGAGTTGAGAGAGGGTTATAGCCACAAAATAAGTAGCCTCCTCGTTTGTAGTGGCCTTCTCGGCCTTGAGGAGGTGAAGTAAAATAAATATATATATATATATATATATATATATATATATATATATATATATATATATATATATATATATATATATATATACATATGTTGTTAAAACATTAGAACAATGTTGCCCGTTTCTTTAACCGAACATTGGCTGCCAATGTTGTTTTTATATCATTATGGTTACAAATGCTATGTCGCCAACAACTAAAAACCAATGTTGATAAAACGTTTATTTAAAGTTGGAAAATGGTTATATTTTCTACGTTAATTCAATGTTTTATTTAATACGTTGGCCCAATGTTGTATTTACATTGATTCAACGTTGAACATTAATTGTAATTGGCAAAATGTTGTATTAGGAATTAAATTTTCATTAAATTCTATATATATATATATATATATATATATATATATATATATATATATATATATATATATATATATATATATATATATATATATATATATATATATAGTTGTATAATTTTGCAATAGCAATATTTGGTTGCATAGATTGGATCATTGTTGGGTTTAGTTCATAAAAACAATCAACTTTTTGCGATGTATTTACATACATTGGATCAATGTTGATTTATATACATTGAATCAACATTGAAATATATACATTGGATCAACGTTGGGTTTAGATCGTAAAAACAATCAACTTTATGCGATGTTTTTACATACATTGGATTAATGTAAATTTTTCAGATTTTTTTATTTTCGTTGTTAATAATTTTATTAATAACTAAATGATATTGAATAAATGTTGGTTTTGCATCGGAAAAAAGAGCCAACGTTCATGATGGTTTTACATAGGTTGGTTTAATGTAAGTGTGCTAGCTGGGATATATATATATAAATATATCTATATATATGTATATATATATATGTATATATGTATATATATAAATATATATATATATATATATATATATATATATATATATATATTATATCAGTGGTGTATATACACTGATATATATATATCAGTATATATATATATATATATCAGTGTATATATACCACTGATATATATATACACTGATATATGTATACACTGATATATATATCAGTGGTATATATACACTAATATATATACACTAATATATATATATATATATATATATATATATATATATATATATATATATATATATATATATATATATATATATATATATATATATATATATATATATATATATATATATATATATATATATATATATATGTGGTGTGCAGTCCCAGTTACCTGATAACAAATGTCAGCTGAAACTTTCCGAGGGCTACTGCGATATTTTTAGGCAATTGAGTTGCCCAAATAAGCGACTTCATTTTTTTAAATTTCTATTAATTCAATAATTCTATATGAAGTAAAATTTTTGTAGCCAAAGTTAAATCTGTAGTTTTTTGTTCTAAAGAAGACTTTTTGCAGTAACATATTTTGATGGCTTTTAAACTATTGAACATTATCATGCACTAACCTTTTTTTTCTTTTTCTTTTAATTCAACTATAAATAATTTAATTTAAGTTTTGAAAACTTGTTTAGTTGTTCTCCCACAATGTTTTTCTTATTTTTTTATAGTCATACCTCAATAGACTTTTATATATTTGAACTATTCACAATTATAACTTTTATGTTATTTTAATAAGAGAAATTTAATCATTCATTAAAATTTTTTAATAAGAGAAATTTAATCATTCATTAAAATTTGTTTAATAGAACGAGTTAACTTAGTTTTGTAAAAACTTGTTAATGCATAATGTTCAGTTTTTTATAATTTTTATTTTCTCTAAAACTAATAGAAAATTTCCTATAAAACTTATAGCATTTTCTCTAGGATTGTTAAAAAATCTAAGATACCAGTGGTAAAAATTTACTTTAAACCATCAAAAATGGTTTTCCATTCATAACTTGTCCTAGCAATCCTCTCTGAGAATCAAAATTGGATTCAAAAATAAACATTTTTTTGACTAATCACTCACTGAGAAGCAAACTTAAAACTTTACAGTTTTCAAATAAAGTGGGGTGGCTCTGGGTTCAAGGAGGTCCTAGGTAAACGAACTTCCCCTATCCTTAGATAGTCAGTTGATGTTAACACACTTCTTGCATGTTTTTCCTATTTAAGTCAGTTGATGTATGCACGCTTCATTGTACCTATCCTTAATTAGTTGATGTTTGTGCCAAATTATTTCATTGATTGATTTATTTATCTCTAAATAAATCAATCAATGAAATAATTAAAAGTGAATTATAATAACAGTGTAAAACAACAAAAAATAAAATCTAATCTTATAAATTGGAAAAAAAATGGTCAAAGTCAATAAAGTTGTGTTTTTGCATTTATTAATTTTTTTTTTTTTTTATTTATATTATTCTTTGTTTTTTTTTCTGAAAGTAGACATTTTAAGAATTAGAATTCATAAAAAATATTAGGAAATAGTGTCCTTATATAGATATAGTAGATTTTTTTTTCTTGATTATAAAGGTTGCTCTAAAAAAATCTAACTGTCTTGTCATTGAGCACCACAAAAAAAAAATATTACTATAAAATTCATGTTGTCTAATTTACTTATGTTGAATATATGGTATATTTATATGTATTTATATGGTATATTTATATGTAAATTTATTGCGGTAGTGGTGTAGTGGTAGAGCGCTCGCTTCATAAACGAGTGATTCCGAATTCGATCCTTACCACGTCCCTGGTAGTACCGCGCTCAACTTGTTTCTCCGCGCAGCGGCCTTGTTCGTCAAGGTTCGTGTTTCGGAGTTATAGAGTTGAGAGAGGGTTATAACCACAAATAAGTAGCCTCCTTGTCTGTAGTGGCCTTCTCGGCCTTGAGGAGGTGAATTAAAATAAAAAATAATAAAAAAAAAAATATGGCAGGCATCAAACACATTAGTTTAAATGTCTTGGTTTTTAAATTCAACGGTCACTTACCACTGCACCATAGCAGCAGTGGTAGGTTTATTTGGTAATTTTATATTTTTTCACATAAAGATAGAATAAAAATATATTGTTTTATATTATTTTTACATGTAATTCTTTTATCATATTAAAAGGTTTGGAATTATTTTTTTGTTAGCAGTCACAAGAAAAGTTTCATTTCTTTAATCGAATATCTAAAAGTTTTGTGTTACTGCTTCTAAGTATACCATTTAATGATAAAGATTCTTTTTTAAAGGTAAATTATATTTAAATAAAATTTATTTAACGTTTTATATTTAGTATTTTTAGGATTGTTTTAATTTTAGTTGTACCCAGACTGTTTATGTCAAGCAATATACTTGATGTTTAATGTATCTTCAACTTTTGACTATCTGTTTGCTGATTGGTTGATTAAAACTGTTTTTTATTGGCTGACTGGTATGTTTTATTTTTAGGTTTTGTTAAGTGTATCCATTCCATCTTTTAAATGAGTGCAACTCATGAAGTTGTCTATCCTTTGTAGATACATTTTGATGCAAGTGGAGTGTAGTAAAATTTGATCTACATGATTAAATATGCTATTTTTTAAAGCATCAGCACTTGCTAATTATTAATAATATGCTACTCATCAATTAAATACCAGGCTTCTTTCTCATAAAACTGTTTTTATATTTAAACAAATACCTCTATTTAGTGAAGCAATGTACTTAATTAGTAGTTGTAAATTTGTAAGGCATTTATGTTGAACTTCTACAATACTTTGAGCTGTTTCAGATTTTAATATGTTTTAAATGCAAAAAAAATTTTCTGACCTCTACTGAATTTAAACCATCTGGTACAGCACATTTACAACCTCATTTTTAAAAACCCTGCTGTGGAAAAATAAATAAAGAACTTCGAATTTAGAAAAAAAAAAAAACACTTCATAAACTTAATAAAAAAAAAAAAAAAAAAAAAAAGCTAAACAAAAGAACGAAAGTAAAGTAAAGTAACAAATAAAGAGAAAGAAAAGATTAGAAGAATTAAATAATCAATTTAAAAAGAAAGAAGAAAAAGCAAATGTAGAGCTCGAAGATTGGTTGTTTTTTTTTTGTTTTTTTTTAATAATTTATTTTTCTTTATGATATAACTTGTAATCATGATTATAATTCATTAGCTATTATTATTTTTAATTCATTAGTTATTATTATTTTTCAGTCATTATATTATTATTTGTTTTCTCACATTATATTATTTTTTTATAGTTAATTGTATTTATTTTTAGTCCTCGTTTGATACCTACTTATTTTATTTATTACATATATATTTAATATTATATTTTTATAAACTTATTTATTATTGACTTATTTTTACTTTCTATTATTTTAGTATCTTTGTCAACAATATTATTATTGGTAGCAGTTAACAGTAGTTATATTATTACTAGTATATATTATTAATATAATATAGATATTATTAAAGTATTATTAGTTATTTTTTTATATTTGGTATCTTTAGTTGTCTTAGTTACTGTTAATATTAGTTCGTTGTTTGTCAAAGTTTTATTTATTTTGATTGTTTAATTTTATAACTGTTAGCTTTAAGCTTTCTTAAGTGTTACAATTTTTTTCTATCATTTCTTTATATTGTTATTAAAATTATTTTCGATTATTCCCCCCAACGGTTACCCAAGTTTTAAATTAATAACTTGAGTCTTTTACTTTGCATTTTTTTTTTTGATCATGAATTTTGTCATGAAATCATGTTTGAATTTTTTGAACATTCTTTTATGTGCTTCCGCTCACCTTTCTCTTTGTTCTTTATTGTTCTCCTTCTTCCCAAGGCAGCACTCTTTTAAATGTAATTTCTTATCAAATTGACCCTGTCCTCTCTCTCTCCCTCTGCCACTATTGTTGTTATTAGTGACTTTAATGCTCATAACACTGAATGGCTTGACTCTAACACCACTGACCTTGCTGGCACTAAAGCCCATAATTTCTGCACTTCTGCATTTCTCAATCTCTTACTCAGATAGTTAACTTTGTGATTACTTTTCCTGACAACCCATTAATGAAAACCTTCACTCCTTAATTTATGTCTGGTTTCTGATCCTAGCTTGTGCTCAGCTTCTCCTTTTTCTTTTTTAGGTGGTTCTGACTATGCAATGATCTTTTTAAATCTTTCATTTTGTACTTTTTTTTTTGACTCACCCTATCATTGCACTACTTACTACTACCCTAAAGCTGACTAAAGCTGATTCTTTTCATGATTTCCTTTGTGACAGTTCTTGGGCTGATGTCTTTTCCCTCTCAGCTGAAAAATGCGCCTCCTATGTAACCTCCTGGATTCAGACAGGAATGGAAGCTTTCATTGGTTACAAGTCAAACCTCATTTAACTTTATGGTTTTCACCTTCTTGTGCAGCTGCTATATTTAATTTTTCATCTTTTTCATAACAAAACTCTCTAGAGACAAACGACTGTAACGACAATAATAAACGGTTTATTATTGCAAGAAATCAATCTAAAAAAGGGAATTTTCGGAAAATCTTTAACAGCACTGTTAACAAAGATAGATCTAACATTCCATCTCTCTTTCACGGGACTGATCTTATTACCTTTTCCAAGAATAATGTAGAACTATTTGCAAAAAACTTTTCTTCTAATTCAACTCGTGAATCTTATGGCCATTTGCTTCCTTCCATTCCAATTAAACAGGTTAACCCATTTTTAGACATTCAAATCACTCCAGCTTCCATTGCTAAAGTCATATCTTGATTAAACTCTTCTAAAGCTTGTGGTCCAGGCAACATTCCTGTTATAGTCTTACAAACTGTTTTGCAGAACTCTCTTCAATTCTCTCTAAGCTATTTAATAAGTACTTGACTTGTTTTCCTGCCTGCCGGAAAATGGCATCTTGTTTTCCTGCCTGCTGGAAAATGGCATCTGTTATTCCAATTTTTAAAACCTCCAGTGAATACTCTGACCCCTCCCCCCTCCCCCCCAATTATCATCCGATCTGATATTGTTATTAGGTTTTTAAATCTTTGATAAACAAGTCTCTCACTATCACTCAGACATTTTTAAGTCAACATCCCATCTTAAGTCAAACAACTTACTGTCAGACAATTTTCGATCCTTTTGCTGTATAGCTGATTTGCTAACTGCTGTGATCGAAAGATTTTATGGTGAATTAGATTACAAAGGCCAACTCTCTTTTTTATTTCCAGTAACTTCAGGAGTACCTCAAGGTTCTATCCTTGGTCCTGTTTTATTTTTTATTTACATTAATGATCTTCCCACGATCTTACATCTAAAGTAGCTCTCTTTGCTCAACTTTATACTCCTGTCTTGACAAAACATCTTCTCTTTGAGAAGATGTTTTGTCAAGACATAAGTCTTGATTGCTTAGAACAGGCAGCTGATTTTGAATCTGATCTCACTTCTGTAACAGATTGGGGCTCACAGTGGCTTGTAAATTTTAACTCCAACAAAACTCAGTTATTTATTGCAAACAACTATCGCAGTACTGTAGACATTCCTATATTAATGAATGTCAACCCTATTACTGAGTCCTCTTCTTCACGTCTTCTTGGATTATCGTTTACTACTGACCTTTTATTGAAACCATGTATACATTCAATTGCTAAATTAGCATCCGCTAAGGTTGCTTTTCTTTATCATGCTTTCCAATTTCTCTCTCTTGATTCCATTTTCTGCCTCTACAAATCTCTTATTCGTCCCTGTATGGAATACTGTTATCATATTTGGGCTAGTTCTTCTAATGATGGTCTTTCTCTTTGAGACAAGATTCAAAAACACATTGTAAATGTAGTTGGACCCGCTCTATCTGCTAAACATGAGCCTTTTTCCTATCGTCGCAAAGTTCCATCATTTTCTCGCATTTTAACCCTTTGAACTCTCTCCCATCTTCGTGTATTTCTGACTAATACAATCTTCGACATTTTAAGTCTTTTGTTAAACGTTTCCTTGCGCTATAACTTTATTCTTTTTTTTCTAGTAACTACCAACTTAATAGTAGTAGCTTGGAGCCATGTTGGGAGTGAATTAGAATTAAAAAAAAAATACATTGTCTGTTGAACTGTCACACAATACAGTCTGTTGAACTGTCACATAATAAACTGTTGAGTTTAGCATTTCTAAAATTATTGTGTAATGAATTTTGCCAACTTCTCACTATTTAGTCAACAAATTCTACTAACTGATGATCTGATTTATCAAAATGCTGAATTAAAATATGTAAGTATAAATAATTTTGAAGTAAATAACCTAATTCAACTGTCAGAAGAAACTTAGAAAATGATTATTGTTTTGCTTAAAAATTGAATTTTTTTTTTAGTATTATTGTCGTGAAGTAAAGTATGAAATTATTTTTATATTTTAGAAAACATGAACACGGCCATTTGCAAGTTTTATAATAATACTGAAAAAGTTTCAAAAACAAAAAAAAGCAAAACTAACAAAATAAAAAGAGATTGAAATAGAAAAAATAAAAACAAATTAATAAAAAAATAACTTGTGTACTATTTTTATTTTTGTTTCTTTAGAGTTACATTCAGCAACAAAATCAGATAAGGTGAAGCAAAAAAAAAAAAGTCTACAATAAAAAGAATGATTTTCCTTTTCTTAATTTTGAATTAAGCGAATTCAAATCGCAAAATCTGGAAAAATATCTAGTATTCAAAATTTTAGTTTATACAAAACCGTGTTCCTTGTTTTTAAGGGGAGAATCAACTTAAATTTGTTAGCAAAAAAATAAAAAATAAAACAATAAACTTACGATTACAAAAGTAATCACTAACTGCATTACAAAAAGTAATAACACTATAATAGTGGTATTACTTTTATAACGCACTTATAACTTTTCAAATTCATTCTTTATTCAAGCATTAGTATTTCCTAATTTTAATTGTAGAAAAATATCTAGTAACTTATAAAAATGTGACAAACAACTTTATGAAAATGTATCGTATTAAAAGTTTAAAATTGTGAAAAACGTTACTAATGGACCATAAAAACTCGCTTTAATTTTAAAATTAACCAATAAAAATTTTTTATTGGTTGATTTTAAAATTAATGCGCATTTTTACATAACGCTTTTCATAATGCTATACTTTTTATAAAGTACTTTTTTATAACATTGTTTAAGTGATATGTGAAAGTTCCTGAAATTTTTAATAATATTTGAATATCCGCTTTATTTTTTCTAGATGTTTTTCTACTTTAATAAATGTTTGGAATTAATAATGTTGTTTGAACAAAGAAGGAACTTTAAAAGTAATATGTGCTTTATAAATGTAATAACGCTATTATAGTTTTATTACTTTTATAATGCAGTTAGTGTTTATTGTTTTTGTTTTGTTATTGTTTTTTTGTTTTTGTATAAAAAAAAAAACACATTAAATATGGGAAAGTCATCATTTACGCCTAAAACCATTTG